AACATCAATGATGAGAGAGAATCATGGATCAGCTGCCTCCTGCATGCCCCCAACTGGGGATCCAGCCCGCAACCCAGGCATGAGCCCTTGACTGGACTTGAACCCGGGGCCCTTCTATCTGCAGGTGGATGCTCTATCCACTGAGCCAAACTGGCTAGGGCTAAAATACATTTCATTTTCAAAGGGGAGCTATCAGTTGGTACAGTGTGCATGCATTTTGGGGGGACACCCTGTATTTCAGAAATATTATCAGTGGCCCGCCAGCTTGTCTCAGTGGTTGAGTGTCGACCTATGAACCAGGAGGCTATGGTTCGAGTCCGGTCAAGGGCACATAGCCGATCCATGATTCTCTCTCATCATGGATGTTTCTCTCTCTCTCTCTCTCTCTTTCTCTCTCTCTCTCTCTCTCTCCCTCTCCCTTCCTCTCTGAAATCAATAAAAATATATTTAAAACAAGAAACATTATCAGTGGCATTTATTGGTCTGTGAAGCAGACAAGAGCGCTGGCGTAGCTGCTACAAGCATTTGTCTTCACCACAGGGCCTGACACCACGGCCCCCTCACGTCGTCACCTGGCTTGAACGTGAACAGGGACTGGTTCCCTCCCACGAACCAGGAACCAGGCCACCTGCAGCCCCTCTGACCCCAACAAGGACACAAACACAGGGTCTGCCCCCAAAAGCACTCACACTGTAACAGCAGATGGCTCAATCCTGAAAATGAGAGGACGTGTTTTAATCAACGCCGCCTTCATAATTATCCAAAGTGTGTGTATGTATTTGGGGGACACACCCTATAGATAAGATGCCATTGTCCAGGGCACACAGGCAGGGGATGGGAGGCGAATATTTACATAAAGGTCATCTTTTTCTTAAAAAATAAACCTCTGACCTCCCAAAATAGTCCCCTAAAAGTTACATGCAGGACCCCAGAATGAGGAAGAGAATGCTGTCTGAGGCAGGAGGAGTAGCAATGAGTCAGGCTTGTTCCCCAGAAAGGCGGGGTAGATGCTGTTGCAAAAAAAGGCTAGTCCAATGCCCACCCACAAAAAAAGGTAAATGCACCCAGGAGAAGAATCACATTTCCTTTCCTTATTCCCCTCTGAGCTCACTGTCAGGTGACATGGCCCTGAGCTGCACAGGGAGAGGGTGAGCGTGTCCCTGCTGATCTGAGCTCTGCAGGCCACAGGGACCCACATCTTCCTGAAGCATCTCCAGGGCCTGGGTGGCACTGTCCATGGTGAGGACCCCAGGGAGGAGGAGGAAGGAGACGCCGTGGGGGAGGCTCTGACAGGGAAGGACGTGCCCTGGGTCACCTCAGCTGCAAGGGGCGTCTCAGGAGGCTCCGGGTCTATTTCCTGATTTGTCATAGAAGCCACAGCCAGGCTGCCAGGAAGATGTTGTTCCCCTTCCTTGTGGCTGCTGACGTGGCCGCCGTGACAACCATGAGACCGGCAGGGCCAGCCTCTCAGTGGCCACACCCTGTGCGTCTGTACTTACAGCGCCATGGGCTCCATCTGCACACTCAGGACCAGATCGAGAAGACGCCATGACCCCTGCCCTCAGGGCCCTGCTCTGCCTCGGTGAGATGGGAGAGGGGAGGGGGGAGGGGAGCCCTGGTCTGTCAGGACCCCAGGACTCAGGAGGCTCATGGGGAGGAGGGTGCTGCTCAGGGTTCAGGGCAAATCTCTCACAGGGACTCTCTTCCAGGGCTGAGTGTGGGCCTCAGGACCCCAGTGGAGGCAGGTGAGTCTCCCCAGGTGTCCCAGATCCCACTCCTCCCTGGGGACAAGGGGCCACCCCATGGGAAGTTGGGGGTGGAGAAGAGCAGTTCTTGGCTGGTGGATGAAGGACATCTGAAATGCTCGGGACTGAGAGCTGGGGACCAGGGGTGGGAATGTCCTGTGACCCAGTCCCTGATTTCCTTCCAGGGCCCCTCCCCAAGCCCACCCTCTGGGCTGAGCCAGGCCCTGTGATCCCCTGGGGGAGCTCGGTGACCATCTGGTGTCAGGGGACCTCAGAGGGTGAGGAGTACCGTCTGGAGAAAGACGGAAGACCAGCACCAGGGAACGGAGATAATCCACTGGAACCCAGGGACAAGGCCAATTTCTCCATCACATACATGACAGAGCTACAGGCAGGGATATATCACTGTTACTATGTCAGCCCTGCTGGCTGGTCAGAGCGCAGTGACCCCCTGGAGCTGGTGATGACGACAGGTGAGAGGACACTCAGGGGTCCCAGCCTCAGGCTCTGCCCTCAGGAAGGGGGTCTGCTCTCAGGGTGTCTCCCTCTCACAGCCCAGCCCTAGGGGACATGAGGGAGGTGTGAGCCCATTTAACACGCTGCCTCCTCCCCGCTAGGAACCTCCAGCAAACCCAGCCTCTCAGCCCTGCCCAGCCCTGTGGTGACCTCAGGAGGGAACGTGACCCTCCAGTGTGGCTCAAGGCAGGGATTTGGCAGGTTCATTCTGACTAAGGAAGGAGATCACAGGCTCTACAGGACCCTGGACTCACAGCAACAGCCCAGTGGGTGGTCCCAGGCCCTGTTCCCTGTGGGCCCCGTGACCCCCAGCCACAGGTGGACATTCAGATGCTATGGCTGTTACAGGGACAGGCCCTGGCTGTGCTCACACCCCAGTGATGCCCTGGAGCTCCTGGTCTCAGGTAAGGAGCCCAAGTCCTGTCCCCCCCATGTCCCTATGTTTGGCTAAGGGTCCTTCCCAGGAGGTCCCCAATGTAGGACAAGAGTGAGGGCTTCAAGGGAGAGTCATCCACTGGGGAATCCACCCCTCAAAGGGATGGATGGAGCACAACGGGCCCTTCTGCCCCTGCCCCTTCCTCATGCCCATCTCCAGATTCTCTAGGGGACCCCAGGGCTTTGGAGGGAGCACCTTGCCAGGGCCACAGGGAAGATCAGGAGACAAGTCTGAACAAAGACAGCATCTCTGGCCAGGGGTAGGGGGCGCTCTACCCCTCACCCTTTTCTTGTCTTTTTTCCCAGGATCCTCTGGGGACCCCAGCACCCTACCCCCAAAGCTCACCTCCATGACTGGTGAGTTGCTGGGGCCTCTTTGCTCTGGGGGAGCACAGACCAACCCAGGGCAGCTCTGAGAGCCTTTCAAAGGATCTAGCACCCCCTCACACACGCTCAACCCCTCACCCTTCTCTGGTCTTTTTCCCAGGCCCCTCTGTCGACCCCAGCACCCTACCCCCAAAGCTCACCTCCACGTATGGTGAGTCGCTGGGGCCTCTTTGCTCTGGGGGAGCACAGACCAACCCAGGGCAGCTCAGAGAGCCTCTCAGAGGATCTAGCAGCCCCTCACATACTCAGGGATGAGCTTGTGTTCTGGGGACTGAGGCTGGTGGGGCAGTCAAAGCCAAGGGAAATGTGGGGCCCAGCTTAGGGGAGCAGTAGCCAGGTTTCAATGGGGAGAAGGCAGGGCCAGCTCTCACCTCCCCATCCTTGGCTTATGACGCTCAAACAGGTGGGGTTCACTGTCGTGGGCGGGGGTCTCAGTGCTCCCTGGGATGGTGATTTTATTTTTTAAATTATTGCTATTATTATTTTTTAAATGTACAATTCAGTGGTTTTTATTGCATTCAGAGTTGTACAATCTAATAATCACCGCTACCTAATTTTAGGATCTTTTTTTTTTCTTTCTTTTTAAAAAGACATGCTCACCCCTAGCTGGTTTGACTCAGTGGATAGAGTCTTGGCCTGCGTACTGAAGGGCCTTGAGTTCAATTCTACCTCAGTTGCAGGCTCCTACCTGGCTGGGCACATGCAGTAGGCAATCAATCCGATTTATCTCTCTGAGCCTTGGTTTCCTCGTTTGTGAAATGAATGGATGGGGATTGGCATTCACATGTTGCTTGATTGTTATAGTGTGAGAGGTGATTCATTCACAGACCCCCCCAAACGTGCCTAACGCACAGTAGGTGCTCAATTAAGTGGCATCATTGGCTCATTCATGACATCGTTGTGTCCAAGGTCTTCAAAACTACCATGAAATTCTGATCGGAGTCTCTGTGGCCTTCATCCTGCTGCTCTTCCTCCTCCTCCTCCTCTTCTTCCTCCTCAAGCATCGGAACAAACGCAGGAGGTCAGGTGAGTAGAGGATGGGGAGACCTTGTCTACCTGAGAGGATTTCCATGTAAGTACAGTTGTGACAGGAGGGGTCCTGCGTGGAGGTAGCAGGGGTGCACCTGGAACCTGAGGGACCATGTGGTGATGGGAGCCATGAGAAGGTGTCCTTGTCAGCCTGCAGTCGAGAGAAGTGGGGAGTGGGCATGGTGGTGAGGAATGGGGGTGGCGTCGAAGTAGTTGGGAGTTTCATTGCTTTGAGAAAGAAAACACGTAAAGGTGTGGGGTGAAATGCCCATGAAGAATTTAAAAATGTGCAAAGACAGTTGGCTAGGAAAAACTGAGGCGTTCCATTGGAATTGAAGATGTCAGTATTGTTACTGAATACAAGTTTGGCTTCCTGCTGTGACAGAAGCTGAGGCAGGTGAGACGGGTGCTGGTGGAAAGGATAGACGTTTTATTCATGTGAAGACGATCTGAGAAGTTGGCGGACTCCTTTCCTAAAAAACCAACCATCTTAACATCTCTGGTCAAGTAGGTGACTTCTTAAAGAAGAGGGAAGGGAAGTGAGGACATGTAGGCAGCGTTCTTGCTGGTTCCGACAAAGATCTTGGTAGCAGCATGCTGACTCTTTCAGTATCAGTTGCTCTGCTCCTTTCTGAACAGGAACTGGAACTGATGCAATGTACTAAAGTAGAAGCTAAAATAGAGGTTGTTAGGAAAAAAAAGAAAGGTTGTTCCTGTTTCTGTCCCAACAGACTTGTTTGTTTATTGGTTAGCACAGTTAATTCTGGTTAGTACAATATTGCGTAAAGATTATGTGCTTTTCATTCTGTTACAGTGTGACCTAATTACAAATTATATATATACTGAGCGGCCAGATTTTTATGACCACCACTAATTTGCCTACAAAATTTGTTCACTGGGTTGGGGGGGGGTGTCCCTCAGCCCAGCCTGGGCCCTCTCAAATCTGGGACCCCTCGGGGGATGTCTGACTTCCGGTTTAGGCCCAAGGATCGGGCCTAAACCAGCAGTCGGACATCCCTCTCACAATCCGGGACTGCTGGCTCCTAACCACTCACCTGTCTGCCTGCCTGATCACCCCCTAAGCACTCCCCTGCCAGCCTGATTGACACTTAACTGCTCCCCTGCCAGCCCGATTGCTCCCAACTGCCCTCCCCTGCTGGCCTGGTCGCCCCAAACTGCCCTCCCCTGCCTACAAATGTCAGGTGATCATAATAATCTGGCCACTCAGTGTGTGTGTGTGTGTGTGTGTGTGTGTGTGTGTGTGTGTGTATATATCATATATATTAGTTGACATAGAAATAGTTAGAGGTATAGTGTTTGCACTGTGTGTACTAGCTCAGACCTAGACATAGTGATAGCCCACTAGAAATTATCATACCTATCATCCAGGTCTTGGCTTCTAAATACCATCCTCTATGAGAGAGCAGAGATGTAATAAGAACAGACTTAGACTGTAAAAATGTTTTTTTGGGTTCACACAATTTTACTTAAAACAACCATGCAAGTTTGAGGCACTACCTTTTAACTTTGTTTATGTTGAATTCCAAATGAACCAAGGTGGGGATCACAGCCTCTGAGGTATAGTGGAGCCCCAGGGGCCGGGTTCTGGGCTAGTTTGGAAGCTAATTTCCAACTTTGTACAGGTGCTTCAAACCTTGAAGTGAAGACCAGAGCACTGCAGAAAAGGTAATTTCTTCCCCAACCCCTCCCACCTCTACCTGTAGCTCCTTCCACACTGTCTAACACTCCTGCCCCCCTTGCTCAGCTCCAGCTCCATGGCTGATGTCCAGGAGAAGAACCAGTGTGCCAGTAACTATGGAGGAGGTGAGGTCTTTGTGGGGCATCGGGGCAGGAGGAGTGCTTGGGAAGGCTTCTGAGCTTAGGGGTGAGGAAGCATGTAAGTCCCAAATATGTGTGGTCCCCGGCACATCCCCACCCCTCAAGGAACCTCAGTCTTCCCACCTAAATTTCAAGGAGAGTGTGGGATTGGGGGATTTCAGGAATCTTGCATGAGATAGAATCTTCTCATTCTTTAGATGCTTCCATAAGAGAATCCCAACCTGAGGAGGACAGAAAGATGAACAGCCAGGTAAGATCCCTGCCCTGTCCAGGACACCCAGCAAAGGCTTGTTAATACCCCCAGGGGAATCACTCCAGGCTCAGGCAGGGGGTGGCCACCCTGCCTTCCGTCCTGTCAGAGGAATTTCTGGATGTAGAAGACAGATAAGTGGGAGAGGACAAGTAGATGGACAGTCACATGGGTCTTTTCTGCTCCCAGTGCCCTGACTTCTCGCCACCTCAATCACCCACCTGCCTCTTGCTCTACCCCCTCCAGGACACTCCATCTGAGGATGCCCAGGATGTGACCTACGCCCAGCTGAATCACTTAACCCTCAAACGAGAGACAACTGCACCCCCTCCTCCCCCGTCAGACCAGCTCCAAGTTGAGCCCAGCGTATATGCTTCTCTGGCCATCCACTAGCCCAGGAGGGACTCAGACCTCCCACTCCAGAGAGGGGAAATGCAGGGACCCCAGAAGGCATAGGAGCTGCCCCCATGGACACTCAGCTACTGACCTGAGCCTGTGGATGTTATGTAAGCAAGCAGGATGTCAAGAGACCTTAGACGTCACCTAATTCTGCAGAAGAAGATAAAGATGAGCTCTATATCTTTAGAAACAGAACAATACACTTCTACATAATTAGTGATTGAGAGAAGAAAATCACAAATGAAGATAAAACTTTTTTTTTTTTACTTAAAAGATAATGTGACTCATATTCTTACTTGAATGGAAATGCAGCTGTTACGCATCAACTGGGAAAATTAAGTACCTAAATGGAGTTATTAGAAAGAGAAGAAAGCCTGACACCCAGCCACCTAGGTGAGCATTTAAAGAAGTCAAAGAATAACAAATGCATCCCACCGCAGTGGATGGAAGGATATAAAAATTATAAAAACATATATTTATATGGAAAAGAATAAAAAAAGAGAAAAATCAATTGTGTTTGTCTTCCCAGGCTGCCATAACAAAGGACCACAGTCTGGGCAGAGCAGAAAACAA